CCTCTAAAATCACAAGAAAACCACCTGTATGTCATGGCAGCCTGAAGAAGTCCCAAGAAGCGGACGAAACGTCGCGAGCGAACGCCACCTGACATACAAGAGAGAGAACATAACATGAGAAAAGGAGGACCCACATATTTATACTTCATATAACAAAGGCGAACCAGTCTAATATAACTCAGATAGTGAGATTATAAAACCTCTTTTGAGAAGATGGGGACGGAGAGCTGGCCATCCACAGTGGTGGCGAGTGCACTTTGGGGGCCTCCACTTAGGTGGAGACCCCCACCCCAACCCAAACCTAACCAGCCAGGGCCTCCTGTGGATCAATGGTCAGTGCTCCTACCCATGCTAAGCTATAATAAGCTAACCCAGTCCTAATCCCATCTAACCCCAGCCCATATATTTCTGAACTAACCCTAACCAATTGGACCCTAACTAAGCCCCCTTGAGGCCCTAACCCCAAATCCTAGGCCCTATTCAAATCTAGTCCCCACTCTGGCTCCAAAATACTGGCCTTAATTTATCTTTAAACCTCAGTGAAGGACATTCTAAGCTCATATAATGGATGAAGCCACTAAATAAAGTAGGCATTTAAATCCCATGGATGAAGTGTAGCCATTAAAGGGAGGCACACATACCCAGTGAACAATGTGTTAATCATAGATATGAACACTATTTAAATTAAAGGCAAAGAATTGGAACCAGAAACAAAGGATTTTAATTTGAAAAAAGACATGGGAAATGGCAGTTGGAGAAAGTCACTACAATGGAGGAATAACACGAATTTTCAGAAAGGGAGGGGCTCAGAGTACAAAAGGGAGCAGCGGACATTTTTGAATTCAGTTTGGCACGGCCCTCTGAGGGAGCCACATCTCCCCAGAGGGGCTCATAGTTAGGGGATACTCACCTCAACTAAACTAAATACTTACCTCAAATAAATTAAATACTTACCTCAACTTAAAGGAATACTTACCTCAACTAAAGGGGATACTTACCTCAACTAATAGGAATACTTACCTCACTTTAAGGGGATACTTACCTCTAAAATCACAAGAAAACCACCTGTATGTCATGGCAGCCTGAAGAAGTCCCAAGAAGCGGACGAAACGTCGCGAGCGAACGCCACCTGACATACAAGAGAGAGAACATAACATGAGAAAAGGAGGACCCACATATTTATACTTCATATAACAAAGGCGAACCAGTCTAATATAACTCAGATAGTGAGATTATAAAACCTCTTTTGAGAAGATGGGGACGGAGAGCTGGCCATCCACAGTGGTGGCGAGTGCACTTTGGGGGCCTCCACTTAGGTGGAGACCCCCACCCCAACCCAAACCTAACCAGCCAGGGCCTCCTGTGGATCAATGGTCAGTGCTCCTACCCATGCTAAGCTATAATAAGCTAACCCAGTCCTAATCCCATCTAACCCCAGCCCATATATTTCTGAACTAACCCTAACCAATTGGACCCTAACTAAGCCCCCTTGAGGCCCTAACCCCAAATCCTAGGCCCTATTCAAATCTAGTCCCCACTCTGGCTCCAAAATACTGGCCTTAATTTATCTTTAAACCTCAGTGAAGGACATTCTAAGCTCATATAATGGATGAAGCCACTAAATAAAGTAGGCATTTAAATCCCATGGATGAAGTGTAGCCATTAAAGGGAGGCACACATACCCAGTGAACAATGTGTTAATCATAGATATGAACACTATTTAAATTAAAGGCAAAGAATTGGAACCAGAAACAAAGGATTTTAATTTGAAAAAGACATGGGAAATGGCAGTTGGAGAAAGTCACTACAATGGAGGAATAACACGAATTTTCAGAAAGGGAGGGGCTCAGAGTACAAAAGGGAGCAGCGGACATTTTTGAATTCAGTTTGGCACGGCCCTCTGAGGGAGCCACATCTCCCCAGAGGGGCTCATAGTTAGGGGATACTCACCTCAACTAAACTAAATACTTACCTCAAATAAATTAAATACTTACCTCAACTTAAAGGAATACTTACCTCAACTAAAGGGGATACTTACCTCAACTAATAGGAATACTTACCTCACTTTAAGGGGATACTTACCTCTAAAATCACAAGAAAACCACCTGTATGTCATGGCAGCCTGAAGAAGTCCCAAGAAGCGGACGAAACGTCGCGAGCGAACGCCACCTGACATACAAGAGAGAGAACATAACATGAGAAAAGGAGGACCCACATATTTATACTTCATATAACAAAGGCGAACCAGTCTAATATAACTCAGATAGTGAGATTATAAAACCTCTTTTGAGAAGATGGGGACGGAGAGCTGGCCATCCACAGTGGTGGCGAGTGCACTTTGGGGGCCTCCACTTAGGTGGAGACCCCCACCCCAACCCAAACCTAACCAGCCAGGGCCTCCTGTGGATCAATGGTCAGTGCTCCTACCCATGCTAAGCTATAATAAGCTAACCCAGTCCTAATCCCATCTAACCCCAGCCCATATATTTCTGAACTAACCCTAACCAATTGGACCCTAACTAAGCCCCCCTTGAGGCCCTAACCCCAAATCCTAGGCCCTATTCAAATCTAGTCCCCACTCTGGCTCCAAAATACTGGCCTTAATTTATCTTTAAACCTCAGTGAAGGACATTCTAAGCTCATATAATGGATGAAGCCACTAAATAAAGTAGGCATTTAAATCCCATGGATGAAGTGTAGCCATTAAAGGGAGGCACACATACCCAGTGAACAATGTGTTAATCATAGATATGAACACTATTTAAATTAAAGGCAAAGAATTGGAACCAGAAACAAAGGATTTTAATTTGAAAAAAGACATGGGAAATGGCAGTTGGAGAAAGTCACTACAATGGAGGAATAACACGAATTTTCAGAAAGGGAGGGGCTCAGAGTACAAAAGGGAGCAGCGGACATTTTTGAATTCAGTTTGGCACGGCCCTCTGAGGGAGCCACATCTCCCCAGAGGGGCTCATAGTTAGGGGATACTCACCTCAACTAAACTAAATACTTACCTCAAATAAATTAAATACTTACCTCAACTTAAAGGAATACTTACCTCAACTAAAGGGGATACTTACCTCAACTAATAGGAATACTTACCTCACTTTAAGGGGATACTTACCTCTAAAATCACAAGAAAACCACCTGTATGTCATGGCAGCCTGAAGAAGTCCCAAGAAGCGGACGAAACGTCGCGAGCGAACGCCACCTGACATACAAGAGAGAGAACATAACATGAGAAAAGGAGGACCCACATATTTATACTTCATATAACAAAGGCGAACCAGTCTAATATAACTCAGATAGTGAGATTATAAAACCTCTTTTGAGAAGATGGGGACGGAGAGCTGGCCATCCACAGTGGTGGCGAGTGCACTTTGGGGGCCTCCACTTAGGTGGAGACCCCCACCCCAACCCAAACCTAACCAGCCAGGGCCTCCTGTGGATCAATGGTCAGTGCTCCTACCCATGCTAAGCTATAATAAGCTAACCCAGTCCTAATCCCATCTAACCCCAGCCCATATATTTCTGAACTAACCCTAACCAATTGGACCCTAACTAAGCCCCCTTGAGGCCCTAACCCCAAATCCTAGGCCCTATTCAAATCTAGTCCCCACTCTGGCTCCAAAATACTGGCCTTAATTTATCTTTAAACCTCAGTGAAGGACATTCTAAGCTCATATAATGGATGAAGCCACTAAATAAAGTAGGCATTTAAATCCCATGGATGAAGTGTAGCCATTAAAGGGAGGCACACATACCCAGTGAACAATGTGTTAATCATAGATATGAACACTATTTAAATTAAAGGCAAAGAATTGGAACCAGAAACAAAGGATTTTAATTTGAAAAAAGACATGGGAAATGGCAGTTGGAGAAAGTCACTACAATGGAGGAATAACACGAATTTTCAGAAAGGGAGGGGCTCAGAGTACAAAAGGGAGCAGCGGACATTTTTGAATTCAGTTTGGCACGGCCCTCTGAGGGAGCCACATCTCCCCAGAGGGGCTCATAGTTAGGGGATACTCACCTCAACTAAACTAAATACTTACCTCAAATAAATTAAATACTTACCTCAACTTAAAGGAATACTTACCTCAACTAAAGGGGATACTTACCTCAACTAATAGGAATACTTACCTCACTTTAAGGGGATACTTACCTCTAAAATCACAAGAAAACCACCTGTATGTCATGGCAGCCTGAAGAAGTCCCAAGAAGCGGACGAAACGTCGCGAGCGAACGCCACCTGACATACAAGAGAGAGAACATAACATGAGAAAAGGAGGACCCACATATTTATACTTCATATAACAAAGGCGAACCAGTCTAATATAACTCAGATAGTGAGATTATAAAACCTCTTTTGAGAAGATGGGGACGGAGAGCTGGCCATCCACAGTGGTGGCGAGTGCACTTTGGGGGCCTCCACTTAGGTGGAGACCCCCACCCCAACCCAACCCTAACCCTAACCCTAACCCTAACCCTAACCCTAACCCTAACCCTGAAACCAAAAAAATGGTGCAACCAATTATTAAATCATTATTAGATAAAAAATTCATAAACAAAAAACAATACACTTACCTGCTGGGTAATCCGATCCCCCGGCCCAGACTGTTTTACCTGCTGCCCAAGATACATAAAGAGCCCTCAAAGTGGAGTGTCCCCTTTGAAATCCCACCTGGAAGGCCGATTGTCTCTGATTGTGATAGTGAGACCTACTACACGGCCCAATTTATTGATTATTATATCAACCCACTTTCTAACAGACACTTCGGCTATCTCAAGGACACTTACCACTTTATTAATACGGTCAAACAACTACATATCCCCCCCGACTCCATCCTGTTCACTATGGATGTTGACAGTCTATACACCAATATTGATATTGATGAAGGCATACAGGCCATAAAAAACATATTTACAAAATTTCCAGACAAAAAGAGACCTGATAAGGAACTATTACAACTCCTTGCAATCAACCTGAGGAGAAATGATTTTGAATTTGACAGCAAATTTTATTTACAAATTAAAGGCACTGCCATGGGCAAAAAATTTGCACCGGCATATGCCAACATCTTCATGGCCGAATGGGAGACCTCCGCCCTGGCAGCCTGCAACAAAAAACCATTACATTATTATAGATATCTGGATGATATCTGGGGGGTCTGGCCCCACTCTATGGAAGAATTTGACCAATTTGTACTCACCTTGAATAATCACAACCCGTCCATCACACTGAAGTCCACCACTAGCACCACGTCGGTCGACTTCTTGGATACCACCACCTACAAGGGGATCAATTTCCAGCATACAAACAAATTAGACATTAAAGTTTTCTTCAAAGAAACAGACACCCATGCCCTGCTTTATAAGACCAGCCACCACCCCAAACACACATATAGGGGCCTTTTGAAATCACAATTACTCCGTTTCCACCGTATCTGCACACACAAAAGTGACTTCATGGCGGCCACAAAAACGCTTTTCAGAGCTCTCGCCACCAGGGGCTATGTACGCTCCTTCCGGCGGAAGGCCCTCAGCACCTTTCTGGAAACAAAACCAGTAGACACGTCGGATGTACTCCCCTTCGTCACCACCTATTCCAAGCCAGCAATCGCTCTGTGCAGAAAAATCAAAGAAAATTTCCAACAAAAAATCATTGATCCGGGACTCCTTAATAACCACAGGTTCATAGCAGCCTATAGGAAAAACAAAAACCTCCAGGACCATCTGGTGACAGCCAAAGTTAAGCCCCTATCGACCTCAAAATCCAGAGGCCATGGCCAATTTTTCAAACATGCCACCTGGATCCACAGCCATGTCAATAAAACAGTCCATAAGACCATGGCATGTGGCAATCCACACTCCAAAAATTGCGTGTATCTTATTTCATGTCTTATGTGCGGCCTACAGTATGTGGGCGAGACCAGAAACACGCTCTTACAGCGGTTCACCCAACACCGCTACAACATCCAGAGGCGGAGGGAAACCCACACGCCTCTGGTCAGCCATTTTCTGGCCCATGGATGGTCGTCTGTCCGGGCCACGATCATCCAGATGGACCCCAGCTGGAACGCCACACAGAGAACCCGAGCTGAAAGGACATGGATAAGAAAATTAGAAACATTACACCCCAAAGGCCTCAACCTCAAATAAGAGCTTTCCTGATCTGGAGCAGGATGGCCCGTGCATGGAGCCTCGACACCGCTGCGCGGTGCCGAGACTCATCCACTTTCTCTATCCTAACCCTATTTCTAATTATAAACACCAACAACAACAATTTGCTAAAATAAAAACTTCTTTATATAAAATCATTACGACAACACAGGGTTAAAAAACAATTTATCATGTACAAACTATTACAGGGTTACAAATAAATAAGTTTAATATAAGATGTTATTAATAATAATTTACAAACAATCATGAGAGTATGAATAAATAAGTTAAAAAAGGTAAAAGTCTATAAAAATACATTGGCTATGTGATAATTCATTTCATTGGGGAGTTACAGGGTTAAAAAACTTGAGTAGGAGAAGGATTTTACAAATTACAAAACCTAAATGCAAAATTTCTTTTGAAAAAAATAGAGGGTATAAAAGGAGGAGCCCAAGTGGGAGCTCACTTTTCATTTCTACCTCGAGCTGTTCACATCGCTCACCAGCCTTACTGACCAGCATAGTTATTAGTGTGTCCTATTCGCCTGAAGAAGACTGACTTACAGTCGAAACGTTGCTGGGGACACACCTTCCTTAGTTCATTAGTAGTATTATTATTTTTGACAACAATTATAGTTTATATTTTACAAAAAATTATTTTTTATTTTTTAACAAAAATTTAAATACACAAAACAAACAACAACAAACAAACAACAACCATTTCCATGGTTGTTTACCTGGATGATGATTGGACCCTGGTCCAACGGGGTGGCAGACGCGGGCGAGCTCGCCAACCGTTTCAGGACCGGGGAGGAAGAGGGTGGAAGGAGAGTGCACCCACTGTTCCCTACAGGGGACAGTCTTCTTTCCCAAGACCTAACCCTAACCCTAACCCCTAACCCTAACCCTAGCGCCGGAAGTCGAGACCGACACCCAAAGAAGCGGAAGGAAAAAAATGAACAGATTGAACCTGCTTTGAACTCTCTACAACCTTCCTGTGAGGAGAAACATGCTCATTAGACCAATGTCTAATGTTGCACTCATCCCTATTCCTATCGGGTAACCCTAACCCTAATTGGAGATGTACTATTTGAATTTCGCAAGTTCTCACTGTTCTATTTGTCCATAAATCTTTTAACGAGCAAGGGAGCAACGGAGCACATGAGGAGGCAGCTGAGGCTCCTACCTCTTATTGACCCCTGACCCTGACCTTAACCCCTAACCCTAACCACTACCTGAACTTTATCCCTAACCCTAACCACCCCCCAGGACACCCATCTCAAACCCCAAACACTCCTAAATCCCTACCAGGCTTTACCTTAAAAAAGAGAGAAAAAAGGAAAAAAACTATCTAATAATCACCTGTAAATCCTCCACAGACACCCTCTGGGTTTGCAAGGGGCCCACACACTCACCTGAAAAGGAAAATAGAAAAAACAAATTTCAAGGGTCTTTATTTATGCATTACATGGTAATAACCCATTTATAGGGGCAAAATTAGGGGAATATTGGAAGTATTATTTTTCAAAAAGGACTTTTCACGGGGAGGGGGACAACAGGGGATGCGGCAGTTGGTACAAACACGTGACGACCTGCAGCTGGCCACCCCTGGCCCCCCTCTCACCCCCCCTCTTGTATATAAATACCCAGCCTGCCCACTCCTCAGTCCCACTTGCTTCTCACAGCTCGAGCACACTACATGGAAGAATAGAGACAGAGAACACTCACTCTACAACACTTTTACACCTACAGAACAAGCTAACCTGAAGAAGGTCTATTCCTTAGACCGAAACGTCGTTTAAAGCTTGTTCATATCCTCAATTTAAATATTCTCTTTTCATTTTTATTTTTTATTTTTTACCACCTTTCTTTCACTCACCCACGGCCCAGAATGCGTGGTGAGAACAGGGAAGAGGACTGGACGGTGGTTTCCTACCGGCGTGATCGCTACAGGCAGCCCCGGGGGGAAAGGCCCAGACCCCGCTCAGCCCAGTACCGCTCTCGCCAACGCTACCAGGCCACAGGGCAGCGTCCCAGTTATGCCTCTGTTGTCAGAGGACATGGACGGAGGGACGACAACCCACAACGCTACCGTTCCACGGAGCATGGCTATAGGCCACAATTTTTTGAAAATCCGGGAAGCCGCAGGGCCCCGTACAACCAACCTGCAAGACACAACACAACATGGAACACAGGGAGAAACACATGGAACACAGGGAGAAACACATGGAACTCAGGGAGAAACACAGGGAACACAGGGAGAAATACAGGAAACACAGGGAGAAATACAGGAAACACAGGGAGAAATACAGGAAACACAGGGAGAAACACATGGAACACAGGGAGAAATACAGGATACACAGGGAGAAACACATGGAACAAAGGGAGAAACACAGATAACACAGGGAGAAATACAGGGGAAACAGGGAGAAACACAGGCAACACAGGGAGGAATACAAGCAACACACGGGGTGGAAAGAGGGAGAGAAACAGAAATGGGAACAGACAACAGTCTGATGATCCTGATTTTGGCATTAAGGCCAGGATAATGAAAAAAATCATTACATTGGCCCACCACCTAAAAAATGTTTCGACCGACAAGCCCCCCCCAGCAATCCACAAATTAACAACTAATTTGGCCACCACAATTAAACCGGCCAGCCCCAGTGAGGGGGCCCGTCTCCTCATTGAGAGCAATGCCAAAAACTGGGAATATACAACAATCCTTATTCTCAGGGATCACTACATTGACTCCATTGATAAGGAGTTTAACACCTTATCTGCATTGCCCAAACGTGATTGGCCTGCCCCCTTTCAAGTGGCCTCCACCTGGGCAAAGAGACACCTGGTGTACTGGTGTTATCACAGACATTCAAATTAACCCAGGCCCAGTTCACACTCCTGGACAGGGGCCTCTCTTTCATCCCCACTAGGGGGAGCCAGAGCCACATCATTGAGCAGTGCAGATGGGACTTACAGCAATATCACAGGAGAATTAAACTCCATGTTTACTTTCAAAACAAAAAAGATGTGACGTTCACCCCCTTTACCCAAAAATCCGATTGGAGCCCCCCCCTGTCTAATTTGCCACCAGAAATCACGGACCTCATCCAAGCTGATATTAATTATTTTGAAAAAAATTTCCAGCCATTCCCAATCAGAAACAATCTTAACCAAGATGAAATTGAAGCCCTTAAGGACCTAAAAGAAAACAAAAACATCATCATAAGGCCGGCAGATAAAGGCAGTGCAGTAGTATTGATGGACAGGGAACAATATTTATTTGAGGGCAACAGACAGCTAACAGACAAAAAGTATTATTCTGTCTTAAAGGAACCTATCTACCCTGAAACCAAAAAAATGGTGCAACCAATTATTAAATCATTATTAGAGAAAAAATTCATAAATAAAAAACAATACACCTACCTGCTGGGTAATCCAATCCCCCGGCCCAGATTGTTTTACCTGTTACCCAAGATCCATAAAGAACCCTCAAAATGGAGTGTCCCATTCGAAATCCCACCTGGGAGGCCCATTGTCTCTGATTGTGACAGTGAGACCTACTATACGGCCCAATTTATTGATTACTACATCAATCCCCTCTCTAATAAACATTTGGGTTATCTCAAGGACACCTACCATTTTGTTAATACAGTCAAACAACTCCAGATCCCCCCCGACTCCATCCTGTTCACCATGGATGTTGATAGCTTATACACTAATATTGACATTGATGAAGGCATTCAGGCCATAAAGAATATATTCACAAAATTTCCAGATAAAAAAAGACCAGATAAGGAATTATTACAACTCCTTGCCATTAACCTGAGGAGGAATGATTTTGAATTTGACAACAAATTTTATTTACAAATAAAAGGCACTGCTATGGGCAAGAAATTTGCACCGGTGTATGCCAACATTTTCATGGCTGAATGGGAGACCTCCGCCCTGGCAACCTGCAACAAAAAACCACTGCATTATTATAGATATCTGGATGACATCTGGGGGATCTGGTCCCACTCCATGGAAGAATTTGACCAATTTGTACTTACCTTGAATAACCACAACCCATCCATCACACTGAAGTCCACCACCAGCACCACGTCGGTCGACTTCTTGGACACCACCACCTATAAAGGAACAAACTTCAAACAGACAAATAAATTAGATATTAAAGTTTTCTTTAAGGAAACAGACACCCATGCTCTGCTCTTTACAAACAGTCACCACCCAAAACACACATACAGGGGCCTACTGAAATCCCAATTACTTCGGTTCCACAGAATCTGCACTCACAAGAGGGATTTCATGGCGGCTACAAAGACGCTCTTCAGAGCTCTGGCCACCAGGGGGTATTCACGCTCCTTCCGGCGTAAGGCCCTCAGCACCTTCCTGGAGAAAAGGCCATTAGATACGGCGGAGGTTCTCCCCTTTGTGACCACCTATTCCAGGCCAGCGGTCACTCTGTGCAGGAAAATCAAACACAATTTTTACCAAAAAGTCCTTAGGCCAGGACACCTGAATAACCACAGGTTTATAGCGGCCTTTAGAAAGAACAAGAACCTCCAGGATTACCTGGTCTCGGCCAAAATGAAGCCCCTAATGACCTCTGCACCCAGGGGCCATGGCCAATTTTTTAAACATGCCAGGTGGATACGCAGCCACTCTAATAAAACGGTCTATAAGACCATGGCATGTGGTAATCCCCACTCCAAAAACTGCGTTTACCTCATCTCATGTCTCTCTTGTGGCTTGCAGTATGTTGGGGAGACCAAAAACACGCTTTTACAGCAGTTCACCCAACACAGGTACAATATCCAGAGACAGAGGGAAACCCACACACCTCTGGTCAGCCATTTTCTGGCCCATGGATGGTCGTCTGTCCGGGCCACGATCATCCAGATGGACCCTAGCTGGAATGCCACACAGAGAACCCGAG